GGCAGGAGAGGGCAGGGGGACAGGAGAGGGCAGAGGAGGGCAGGAGAGGGCTGGGGGGTGCAGGGGAGGGCAGGGGGGTGCAGAGGAGGGCAGGGTGACCTCGAAATCCCCTTCTGCTGCCCCCACACGTCACCCTGCTGCCCAATCTAGTGAGTACTGTGTGCGGGGGTGGGGGGGTCCTCTCTCGGGGGGTGGGAGCTAGTTTTCTGGGGTGCTGTGCGGAGAGGCTTCGGGGAGGGGCAGACAGGAGGGCAGGGGGGATGACGGGGCAGGGAGGGAACTGGGGGCCGCCTCCTGGGGCAGCTCTGTGGGGTGTCACGGAGGCGGCAGGCGGTCCAGGGCCCAGGAAGCCTCACTCCCACTGGGGACACGGGAGCTCAGAGGGCCCCAGCCCTGGGGGTGTGCAGGCCCCGGTCCCCACCCGCCCCAGGGCCCTCGTCCCTGGCAGGGGTGGCTCCTTATACAGGGGCACCCCCCTCTGCCCCCCTCCCCGGGGTCCACTCGCCCTGACGCCCCCCAGCCCTCCCGCAGGCCGAGCCCTCTCCTCATCCTCCCCTGCACCCTGACCGCCCCCCCATGGGCAGCGAGGAGAGGTCGCCACCCCAGCGGCCCCAGGGGCAGGTGCTCCCCGGGGAGGCACCCGAGCCCCAGCTGCACCCGCTCCCCGCGCCCTGGCAGTGACCCCTTGGGAGAGCCGTCTCCTCTGCGGTCTTTCTTCCCCAGCCTTGGCCGCGGCCCACACCCTGCGGCCCAAGCAGCGTGTCCGGGTCACCTGGGGCCGCGGCGACTGAGAGCCCCGGGCGGGGCGGGAGCAACAGTGGGGTAGTTCCTGGGGCGGCAGCTGGAGGCGGCTGGGTGGGGGCGAGGCCCCCGGTGGAGGGCTGGAGGCCGCGTGGCCGCCCCTCCTCACACGGGCGCCAGTCCCACAGGGCCAGGGCTTCACCCTTGTGACTCGATTTCCCCTCAGTCACTTCCCTTGCCGTCTGTCCGAACACGGGCAGCGGCATCAGGGCTCCTCCCACGGCTCCTGTGGGACCGTCACCAGCGCACACCGGCCAGCCCAAGGGCTTCTCGGGGTGCGGCCGCAGCCCCCCCTTAGGCCTCAGCGACTCCCCCCAGGCTCTCCCCCCACAACCGTCTTCTCCGGCTGCCTTGGCTCCTCACCGTCCTCCCAGCCCGTGAACCGTGCGGCCTGGCGCTCGGCCCGGATCCCCTTGGTGTCTACACCCGGCGGGAGGTGGGCCCCGCATTTACACCCTCATCTTGGGCCCCCTCGCCGGCCCGTCTCACACCCAACCTGCCCCCACACACGGCCTCTGTCCCCGCGGCCTCCTCCTGGGGCTGGGGATGGGACCTGGGCCTCGCCGCCTCGCGGCCTCTGGGGTCCGACCCGTGGGAGCGCGCCCTCTGGCTCGGTCCTCAGAGTGGTGGCCCGCGACCACGGCCACCCTCCTCCCCCGAAGCCAAAGGGACTTTGCAGATGGGATCCCACGAAGAGCCCTGAGGTGGGGGCTGCCCTGGGCTTTGGGGGGGGGGCGCTGACCCTCCGTCCGACGGGCAGAAAGGACGGGGGCAGAGGAGATGTAGTGACGCCAGCCTGAAGGTGCTGGGCCTCGGGGCCGCAGCCAGAGGATGCGCGTGACCTCTCGAAGCGGGTTCTGTCCTAGAGCCTCCGGGGAGGACACGGCCCCCCAACACACACCTCCAAACTGTGGAAGCGTAAACGTGGGTTGTTTGAAGCCACAAAGTTTGTGATAATTTCTAAATTTTTTGCAGCAGCCTCAGGAAGCTAAGGCACACCCAGAATGTGGGCCATGGGGCCCTACGTGATGCGGCCCCCGCTGAACCCTCTGGCTCGCGGTCTCCGCCCTCTCCTGCTTTACCACCCTGTCCCCCTCCTGCCTCTGAGCCTTTACACTTGCTGTTCCTGCTTCCCGGGACGCCTTTCCCCCACAGATCCACCTGGCCTGTTCTGGCCACGTGATGACTTATTGGAGCCTTTTCTTTCCTTTTCTAAGAATTATCTACTTATTTTAGAGAGAGAGCACATGCGTGGAGGGGAGGGAGAGGGAGAGAGAAATCTCAAGCAGATTCCCTGCTGAGCGGGGAGCTCTACATAGGGCTCTATCCATGACCCCGAGATCATGACCTGAGCTGAAATGAGGAGTCAGATGCTTAACCGCCTGATCCCCCCAGGCACCCCTATCAGAAGCTTTTGTAACTACCTTCCATAAAATCAGAACTCTCGACACCCCTCGGTACCCCCCACGTGGATCACTATGTTTATATGGCATAAGATGCATTATGTATTTCTCTATTTCCTTCCACAAAAATATAAGCCCCATTTATATGTCCTGCTTACCCTCGGTGCCTGTAGTGAGTGCCTGCTGTTGTAAGCACTCTGCTATTTGTTGGATGGATGGATGGATGAATTTTACAGATGGGGCAACTAAGACCAGGGAAGAGGAGTACATCAAACACGGTGTCTCCCACCTCCTGCTGCCCCGAACTGCTTCTGCTGGGCAGGTTAGGACATTGTTCAAAGGTTTATCTCCTAGGCCCAGGGTCTCAATCCTGGTTCTGTCAGGTGACCCCAGGCTGGCGTCTTACCTACTCAGCTTCTGCTCCCCAATCGCGAATGAATGAATGAATGAATGAATGAATGAATGAATGCTTTCCCTTGGTTGGGAAAGCCCTGCAGGCTAGAAGACCAGAACTGGGACCAGGAGCAGGAGCAGGAGCAGGAGCAGCAGCAGGACCAGGACCAGGAGCAGGAGCAGGAGCAGGACCAGGAGCAGGAGCAGGAGCAGGACCAGGACCAGGAGCAGGAGCAGAAGCAGGAACAGGACCAGGAGCAGGACCAGGAGCAGGACCAGAACCAGGAGCAGGACCAGGAGCAGGACCAGGAGCAGAAGCAGGACCAGGAGCAGGACCAGGAGCAGAAGCAGGAACAGGACCAGGAGCAGGACCAGGACCAGGAGCAGGAGCAGAAGCAGGAACAGGACCAGGAGCAGGACCAGGAGCAGGACCAGGAGCAGGACCAGAACCAGGAGCAGGACCAGGAGCAGGACCAGGAGCAGAAGCAGGACCAGGAGCAGGACCAGGAGCAGAAGCAGGAACAGGACCAGGAGCAGGACCAGGAGCAGGAGCAGAAGCAGAAGCAGGAACAGGAACAGGAACAGGAGCAGGAGGACCAGGACCAGGGCCAGGAGCAGAAGCAGGAACAGGACCAGGAGCAGGAGGAGCAGGAGCAGGAGCAGGAGCAGGGAGAGATTATGGGGAGCAGGGCAGGAGGCTGCAGGGCCAGGCTGCAGGGCCAGGCTCCAGGCCCCCGGAGCACAGACCTGACTCCAGGAGAGAGCTGGGGAAGCCACAGCATGGGTTTGGGGGGCAGAGGCCAGACCCACTCCTCTTATGGACCCTCATCTTATGAGGGACCCTCAGGGCTGTCAGAGGATGGGCTACCAGGCCAAGTGGAAGCGGAGAGGACGCTGCAGTGGCCCAGCCAGAGGTGCTGGGGCTGCCGGTCGACAGGGTGCTAGGGACACTGGACATGTGATCCGGAGAGAAATGACAAGATTCCGAAAGGTGCAGGGTGGGGAGCAGGTGGGATTGAGGAATAGGACTGCCTGTGGGGTTGGGGAGAGGTCTTGAACGGGTGGGGGTGAAGGGGCCTCCTAGACACTTGCTCTGCTTGCTCACGTACAATGGAGACATATAGGCTCCCATGATGGGAAGGTCTGGGGCTCCAGAGCTCAGGCTAGGACTCTGGGAGCCAGCCCCCCTTTCCTGAGTTGGCCTCATTCTCAGGCAGGCTGCCCCACAGGTGCCTGCAGCCAGCAGCAACCCTAGGCTGCGTCCTATTAGGATGGCCAACCCAACAGAGAGACAGATTCTGCTAATATTTCCATAACCCAAGTCCTGGGGGTGGGGTGGGGGCTCCCATCAGCTGAGCACGGACCACTTGCTTGAACCTGAACCACTAACACTGGGGGCGGGCTGGCTGGGCTTCCCCAACCCCCCGTGCTGGCCCCTGTGCTCGTCTTCCAGGTGTGTGTGGGGGGCGGGTCGGGGAGGGGAGTGGGACACTTTGGAGGGGCTGGAGGGTGGGCAGGCACACAGGAGCATCCCCAGGGCGCTGCACAGGCTGGCGTGCATGGGGTTTTCTGAGGGAAGGCCCGGCCCAGGGCTGGCTTGGGAGATAAGGGCCGCTAGGGTGCCCGGAGCGGCCCCAGCCTCCTGCCTTCCTGGTCCTGATCTGGGCAGGCCTCTCGCTCCCGCGTGCGGCGGATGGCGGGGCTGGGCTCTGCCCCTGCGCCCCGGTGAGCTGCCGCCCCACTGGACGCCCGCCCTCTCCTGCCAGTAGCTCCGCTTGAGAAATCTCACCATCGAGGCGCATCCAAGCCTCAGGTGCCGCCTGGTGACGTCAATGCCGAGGCCAGGGTGGGGAGCAGGTGCTGTGCCCGTGGCCTTTGCTACCATTGTCACACCCCAGTCCTCAGCTGCCCCATCACCTGCCTGCCCGGAGAGTCAGGACGGCTGTGCTCAGCTGGGCTGGGGGGGCCTCGAGGGCAAAACTCAGCTCCCCCACCTGCATTTCCTGGGGTCCCTGACAAGGTGAGGGATTGGAGGTCTGCTCAGCTTCTCTCTGGTCCTTGCCCTTTAGTATCCACTTCACTGCCTGGAGTCAGCCTCCGGCTTCACATCTGGCCCCCGCCCCTCTCGGCCCTCCCCTCTTGGTGGCAGGAGGGCTGCTGAAATTCCAGCCTGGAGGGGGGTGGTTAAGTCACGAATGCAGATGTCCCCGGGCCTGTCCCCTGCTCCCAACTTGGGAGTGGTGGGAAAAGTGACTTCCTACGGGACACTCAGGGCTAGGTCCCTGGTGCCAAGGGCTGACCCGGCCAGGGCAGGTGTGGGCGCCAACTACTTCCCCACCCCCCCGGGGACTGAGCCTTACCCCCTCGGCTCTGTGGGCTTCCAGCAACGACACCGGCCACGAGTCCATTTAAAAATCATTTTATTATTAACATCATCTTCCCATTTAGCCAAGTGTCTGTCATGTATAAGGAATGTCGGTAAATATTCCATTTGAAGCATCTTTGTACATATTTCCATCGATAAATAAACTCTGAATTCACATAAAAAAGTTAAACTTAAATAGCTCCTATTTCCTTCTCTTGTAACAGGCATATAGTGGTGAAATAGAAACATTCTCGAACTCAGGCTTTGCTCTAAGTGAGGACAGGAATTCACATGGTACAATTATTGACAACAGAACCAAGAAATTGTCAGCTGGTGTCCTGGCTTTGGACGAGGACCGAGGTGGGAAACAGAAAATTCACATTTGGTTTTCCGGGCCGCGGGTGGGGCAGGCGTGGTGACAGGGAGGAGAGATTTCTTTACAGCTCTGATAAAAATAATCTGCTCTGCCACTGAATTTTAACTCTGAATATATTCTTCTACATTTGCTGATTAAGTCCATTATCATTTGACTTTACAACGCAGATGTCGACTAACGAAATATGGCACGTAATCCGTTTTGAATGTCAGGAGGTTCCAAGACTATCACTGGGCTGGCCAGAAACGACGACAGAAATGCGCGAGGAGAGCGAGCGATGATCGGGGCTTGTTGGGTTAGTTCACTGCGGTCAATCGCACGTCCGTCCGTCCGTCCGTCCGCCCGTCTGTCCGCGGCCTCGGTGCAGGGGGGTGGGGGGGCGCCCCAGGCGGGGGGCGGGGGGGGGACAGAGCGGCAGTGAGGCTGGCAGGTGCCTGCTCAGAGCACCCGGGGGATGATGGTGAAGGGCACCGCGGGGCTGCTGGCTTCCAGCTCCAGGGCCGTCAGGAAGCACTCGGTGGCCGCCGCGTCGTTGCCCTGCGCCTGGAGGACCTCGCCCAGGCCGTTCCAGACCTCGTGGGCCGTCGAGTTCACCTGCACCGCATCCCGGAGGATCTTCTCCGCTAGACTGTAGCGGCCCAGCTGATGGAGGATCAGGGCCTGCGGGCGGCGGAGAGACAGACAGACAGACAGACAGTCAGAGAGGCCCTGCACCTGCAGGCTCTTGCCTGTCCCTGAGCATCTGCAGGTTGGCGGGGGGCTGATGTCCATGGGGCTGGGCACCCAGAGGTGCCAACGCTCCCCGCATGCAGGGGCAACGGCTGGGGCGCGGCTTGCCCTGTACGAGCCGGCCCCGCTCTGCCGCTTTAGAAGGATGACACCTGCAGTCTCCTGGGGTTCAGGCGGGCCCTGAAGGCCCGGGGTGGGGGGGCCCATCGGAAGGGACGCTCTGTACCGACCCGTGCTCCTCACCTGAAGAAACGTTGTTTGTGGTGTTACCGTTGCAATGACTGGAACAGGATTGTCCCCCACCAGAAACCAGCCCCTGCTTTCACCATGCCCACTCACCCCAAGCTCGGCTGTCACCTTACACAGCTTCATGTTATTTTATTTTGCTTCAAAGATTTATTTATTTGAGAGGGAGAGAGAGAGGGAGAACTCGAGCAGGTGCAGGGGCAGAGGGAGAGGGAGAGAGAAGCAGGCCCCTCTCAGAGCACAGAGCCCGACCCGGGGGCTCGACTTCACGACCCTGAGGTTGTGACCTGGGCTGAAATCAAGATTCAGATGCTTCACCCACTGAGCCCCCCAGGCGCCCCCACCTCACACAGTTTTAATTAGGATGTAGGCAACGGTCCCCCGATATTTTACTGGAACCATGTTCCCGAGCTGCTCTCTTTGAGCCAAGGACAGAGCCTCATTTCCTCGACCTCTCCCTCACCGGCCGCCTCTGGGGATGTGCCCACTCTCTCTACTACTGTAAATCACGCTGTGATGAACATCTTTCCAGACAGTGGCGCTGCACCCTATAGAGCAGCCCGGGTTAAATCTGTCCTACAGTCCCCTACCCTGTGGGCGAATGGGACTCTACCTCTTCTGGGTATTAACAGACAAAGGAAACTGCTCAGGAGCAGGACCACGGGGTGGGGCGCAGACTTCTCCTGGATGGGGCTCAGTGGGACCAGCTTGACGACTGTTGGGAGGTTCCTATTTTAGAGCAAATGTCCCCACAGTGGCCTGACTGGGTTGGAGGATATGCCTCTTTATAGGGTTCTCCAAAGGCTCTGCAGGTGAGATCCCCACAGGGGCAGGGCCTTCAGAGCCACAAGCAGGGTGTCAGGGGCCGGTCCCCCAGCCCCCACCACGGTGACTTCAGAGGCACAGACCCACCCTCCTTACTAAAACCTGCATTTATTTATTTATTTTTAAGGAGCCATGGAGGTGAACTGTTTGCCATGTCTCTGTTTACACCTTGTTAGAGGACGGCGATTCACCCACGATCACAAGTGTCTAGACTGTTGTTGAACTTCTGAGATTTCTTTCCTTTGAACATAAGTTTTTGGTTTTTTTAAATTGGATTCGTTGAACTTGTGTTGGCTGGTTTTGTGTTTTTTTTTTTTTTTTTTTGTCACTTCAAAGCTCTGCAAGTTACCCTTTCAAAGAGCTGACACGTGTTCAATTCCACCCTGCTCAGGAGCTGTCTGGTTTATCTTGGCAGACAGGAACCAACGTGGATTTGTTCTCCTGGGCTGGACACTCGCCGGCCGGCCGCCCACCTCCCCACTCCCGCAAGGCACTGCCCCCGGCCAGAGTGAATGGTCACCTGGGACCCGGGGGCTCTCCCGCGGGCGGCAACACCCTCCCTTCGCACAGGGACTGCCGTTTAGGCCTCCGTTAGCCCACGTTGGGTTCCAACAGTGGAGGTGGACAGGAGAGCCTCTCCTAACTTCTCTTCGCTTTCATATATTTGTTGACAACTGAGCTCTATCCCTTGCCAGACCAACTTCAGAATCATTTCTTTCGTGCCCTTTGAGGGTTGAATCGTGTACCCACCAAGTCTCCAGGGGTGCATGGAGGAGCCTGGCATGTGCAGGGTCGTGTCTTCCCTCCCAAGAATGTGGTCCGCCCACCGGTCCCCCGTACTTCATCCTAAATCTCCCACTGAGGCCTTGCACTTCCTTTTTGTGCCCCCTGAGCTGCCTTCCTGAGCGAGGAGGCCGAGGAGGAGGCTGGTGCAGCAGGACCTCAGTGTCAGCTCTACTCTGCGAGGAAAACCGAAAGGAAACAGTATTCGTTCCCTTTCTTAACGTCTCTCCGTGCTTAAACCATGGCCATGCTGGAGTCCAGGTCCTAAATCAGACCTGTCAGAGCCAGGGCTCTGGGCAGCAGGGTGGCCCCCTCCCTGAAGCATTAGGACAAGAGCAGTGGCCTGAAGTTAGTCCTTGCAATTAGGATTTCATGTTGCCTTTGGGAATTTCTCTCATCGGCCTACGGGCCCTCCCGTTCTCCAGAGGGAACTGCTGGGTTTCAGCTGCCTTGCCCAGGCTGGTGAGGGTCAGGTGTGCAGAGACCACCAGGGACAGATGCCATTCCCCACCCGTGCGTGGGCAAGGGAGCAGGGGCAAACGCCCAGCATGGATCTGGAGGCTTCCTGGCCAGACGGTGCATAGTGGTAACAGCAGCACGGGCTTTCCCGGTGTTTATATTGCACCAGGCACCGTTCCCGGGGCTTATATCCTTTAGTTCATTTAACCCACCCAGGGAGACCCCGAAGTAGTTTCTCCTGGGCACGGCTGGGATAGGCCCTCGCCTGGCTGCCCGGCCTGCTGCTGTTTGCTGAGGAGAAAGATCCCGCCACGGAGGAGCACCCATCACCCGGAGGGGAAATCTCCCAACACACACACCCCTTTGGATGGGTGAGCAAACCATGGCTTCTACAGCCCTTGTCGCTGGCCCCGGGTGCACAGCCGCCTCCTGCACATCCGAACTCTTAGGGCCTGAAATCCATTTGGGTGCAGAGCCCAGGGTGGGGCAGGAGTCAGGGGTCACCTCCATCTCCTGGCGCGGTGCTGTGCACCCCACCCCCCGGGCCCTCCTTCAGAGAAACTCAGCTTGACACCCATACTCCTTGGTCCTGGAGGTCAGGTGGGAAAGGGCGGGAGGCCTTCCTGAAGTTCTAAGCAACGGAACATGAGGACCAATGAGCTCCTGCCTCCTTTTCTTCCAGGGCAGGTTATGAGCTTGAGCTCAGTCTAGAACATTCCAATTTAACTGACGGAGAAGCAGGAGGGAGGGAGGGGAGTCTGGGTGATGGCAGCAAGCAGAGGCATGAAGATTACACAAGGTGCCTTGTACTCACCCCTTCAAGGTAGGACCTCCTCAGTGCACCAAATTACTGAACACACGCAGCCCTTTTCTGAGCGGCCCTACCACACCTGCTGCACGTGCGGGGCCAAGGGTGGACGAGGGGCAAGCCCCTGGTGAGGTGGAAAGAGGCATCCTTGGTTTCTTGGCCGCAGGCTTAGAGCATAATTTAGGTTCCGCTGGGCTGGGCTGCTGTCAGTCAGCCCCGTGCTGCTTCCTTCTCAATAGGCATGACGCTAGGCACCCGTACTTGGCTCATCTCACGTTTACCACTTCAGATGCAAAGAGGCAAGGTCCACAAAGGCCCAGGATCTTGCCCAAAGTCGCAGGGCCAATGAATATGGGGCTGCAGGCTAGCCCAGGTCTGCCCAAGGCCCAAACCCCCATGCTCCCCCCCATCCATCTGGCCCGCTTACTTGCTCACTGCTGCCTCTGTGGCTTTAAGAGACGCACCCGGAACCCCTCGGGCACTGACCCAGTGACGCCTGAGCACCAGCAAATGGGCATCTGTGGGCTGGGTCTTCCCTTTCATTTCTCCAACCATGGAGAACTGGCTCTGTCCCTCCTCCCCATGCTTATGACCTAGACAGAGGTTCCTCTCCAGCCAGCCAGAGGTATTCTCCAACTCAGACTGCTGCTGGGGAGCATCTTAGGCACCTGCTCAAGGGCTAGGAGGGCTCCCTGTCTCCCTTGGGTGGCCCACAGGCTGGCTGTGACCCTGAGGCTGGGGTGGATGAGGGTGCCGAAGGTCTGCGGGGTCTTGTTAGCCAGGGAGTGGGCCAATGAGATGTGGAGCCCAGAGGTCGCTGGTCTCAGTGGCAAAGACCTGCCCCCACCCTGCTGGAGTGGGGACAAGGACACTGGTCTTTTTGCTGGGAAGTCTGATCAGAAGATGGCAGGCTGCTCAATCTGGTTGCAGCCTATCATGGGGACTACAGGGTATATGGCAGGGGGCAAGCCTACCCACCCCCAAACGCCTGCAGAGAGCCAGCCGCTGGGCTAATCTGACCTGTCACCCTCAGTCCTGGGCAGCTGAGAGTCTTCGTGTTGTCCAGAGCTGCAGACTTCTCGTGGGCTCGGAAATTTCCAGCCCATATACCTGGACTTCTATTCCTAATGTGGGCACAGGCTCCCCTTTCCAGATGACCTTGAAGCTTCCTGAGCAATCTGCTTAGTGGAATTAATTCCTAAAGCTGGAACCGCTCAGGGAGACATCGGATGCTTGCCAGGGGCCACCAGCTCGGGCTTTTGGCAAAGGAATGAAAACTCGGCCTCTGCTCAGGGCCCCAGCAAGCCAAGAGCAGCTCTGACATCAGTCACATAATGGGATCAACCAGGACCAGCTCTGGCTGGGGTCTGGGCTATTGCTTGGTGCCAGCGTTGCAGCCGGGCTGGCCAGAGGTGGGCTGGTACCTGGCTGTCAGGACGGACACACCACCCAAGCCCCCGCGTGTGGGGAGAGGCCTTCCTTGGCTTTGTTGTGCCCCTATGCACTAGAACCCTGGCCCCCTTTCTGATTCTACAGGCCCTGCCTCCTCTCTTCTCCAACCATCAAAGACCTAACTCCTGAGGCTGGCTTTTAACTATCCTCACCACTGGCTGGATCCAGCTTTCTCTTAGCACGGACCTCAGAGAGCCCATGCACTGCAGGATGCATCCCCCTGCCCCCTTCCACTTCCTCAACCTCTGTCATTTCCAGTCTGGCCCCTCCCGCTGGAGCTCTAGCCCATGTGCTCAAAGCCCTGCTGATAGCCATTCCCCCAAGAGCCCAGGCCACACTGCCCCCCAGCCTTAGGCAG